ATTGCTGCCTCAACTTCAGACCTTGTTATTGGTCTATTCAGGAATTCAACTTCTTCCTGGTTAAGTCTTGGGAGGGTGCATGTGACCAAGAATTTATCCATTTCTTCTAGATTTACTGGTTTATTTGCATAGAGGTGTTTGTGGTAATCTTTGATGGTAGTTTGTATTTCTGTGGGATTGGTGGTGATATCCTCTTTGTCATTTTTTATTGCATCTATTTGAATATTCTCTCTCTTCTTTTTTATTAGTCTAGTTAGCAGTCTATTTTGTTCATCTTTTCAAAAAACCAGCTCCTGGATTTATTGATTTTTTTTGAAGGTTTTTTTCTGTCTCTATCTGCTTCAGTTCTGCTTTGATCTTAGTTACTTCTTGCCTTCTGCTAACTTTTGAATTTGTTTGATCTTGCTTCACTAGTTCTTTTAATCATGATGTTAGGGTGTTGATTTTATATCTTTCCTCGCTTCTCTGGTGGGCATTTAGTGATGCAGATTTCCCTCTAGACACTACTTTAAACGTGTCCCAGAGATTGTGGTACGTAGTGCCTTCATTCTCATTGGTTTTGAAGAACATCTTTATTTCTGCCTTCATTTCATTATTTATCTAGTCATCATTCAGGAGCAGTTGTTTAGTTTCCTTGCAGTTGTGTGGTTTTAAGTGAGTTTCTTAATCCTGAGTTCTATTGAGTGCACTGTGGTCTGAGAGACTGGTTGTTAGGTTTTACATTCTTTTGCATCTGGTGAGGAGTGTTTTACATCCAATTATGTGGTCAATTTTAGAATAAGTGTGATGTGGTGCTGAGAAGAATGTATATTCTATGGTTTTGGGGTGGATAGTTCTGTAGATGTCTATTGGGTCTGGTTGGTCCAGATCTGACCTTTTAATATCTATAGAATTTGTAGTCATTGTTACCTCTCATTCCTAACATTGGTCATTTGTGGGGTTTTTTATTCTGAGCCATCTGGCTTTTGAACTACAGATTTACTAAATTTTCTCAGGGAACTAGCTTTAGGTTTAATTTTTCTCTTTTCTACTTTGATATTTATGTCTTCTTATTTGGGGTTTAATTTACTCTTATTTCTCTAGTTTTTTTAAAATGTCACGATATATTTAATTTAATCTAGTCATATTTGTATATGAAAAAATTTTATGAATTCAGTTGTGAATAATGTTTTATTTGGAGCATACAAAACAATGGATTCTCAGCCCCAAAGCTCCTTCAGCTGATAACCAACTTCAGCAATGTTTCAGGATACAAAATCAATTTACAAAAATTACCAGAATTCCTGTAAACAATAGCCAAGCCAAGAGCCAAATCAGGAATGCAATCCCATTTACAATTATCACAAAAAGAATAAAATACCTAGGAATATAGCTAACCAGAAAGGTAAAAGATCCCTACAAGGAGAATTACAAAACACTACAAAGAAATCAGAAATGACACAAACAAATGAAAAAACATCCTATGCTCATGGATTGAAAGGATAAATATCATTCAAATGGCCATACTGTGTGAAGCAAGTTAGAGATTCAATGCTATTCCTATCAAACTACCAAAAACATTCTTCACAGAACTAGGAAAAACTATTTTAAAATTCATATGGAACTAGAAAAGAACCCAAATAGCCAAGACAATCCTAAGGAAAAAAAAAGCTGGAGGTATCACTCTACCCAACTTCAAACTATACCACAGGGCTACAGTAACCAAAACAACGTGGTACAGGCATAAAAAGCAGACACATAGACCAATGGAACAGAATAGAGAGCCCAGAAACAAGGCTGTAAACCTACAACCATCTGATCTATGACAAAGCTGACAGAAACAAACAATGGGAAAGGACTCTATTCAATAAATGGTGTTGGGATAACTGGCTAGCCATATGCAGAGATTGAAACATATGCCCCCTTTCTTATACTGTATACAAAAATCAACTAAAGAGCAGTAAAAGACTTAAATGGAAAGCTCAAAACTATAAAAACCCCAGAAGACCACCTAGACAATATAATTTTTAACATAGAAACTGGCAAAGATTTCATGACAAAAATGACAAAAGTAATTGCAACAGAAGCAAAAATTGATGAGTGGGATCTAATTAACATAAGAGCTTCTGCATAGCAAACTATCAACAGAATAAACAGACAGCCTACAGAATGGGAGAAAATATTTGCAAATGATGCGTCTGACAAAGGTTTAATATCTAGCATCTATAAGGAATGGATTTACAAGAAAAAAACAACCCTATTAAAAAGTGGACAAAGGACATCAACAGATACTTTTCAAAAGAAGACATACATGTAGCCAACAAGCATGTAGAAAAAGCTCAATATCACTGATTATTGGAGAAATGCAAATCAAAACCACAGTGAGATATGTCACACCACTCAGAATGGCTATTATCAAGAAGTTAAAAAATAGCAAATGCTGGTGAAGTTGCAGAAAAAAAGGAATGTTCATACACTGTTGGTGGGAGTGTAAATTAGTTCAGTCATTGTGGAAAGCAGCATGGCAATTCCTCAAGGAGCTAAAAACAGAACTACCATGTAACCTAGCACTTTCATTGCTGTGTATATACCCAAAGAAACATGAATCATCACATAAAGACACAATCACACATACGTTCATTGTGGCACTATTCACAGTAGTAAAGACATCAAATCAACCTAAATACCCATCAGTGGTAGACTGGATAAAGAAACTATGGTACATATATGCCATGGAATACTACACAGCCATAAAAATGTGATCATGTCCTTTTTAGGAAGAAAACCAAATAGCACATGTTCCCACTTATAAATGGGAGCTAAATGATGAGAACACATGGACACGAAGGGGAACAATAGACCCTGGGGCCTAGTTGAGGGTGGAGGATGGGAGAAGAGAGAAGATCAGAAAAAAATAACTATTGGGTATAGGCTTACTACCTGAATGATGAAATCATCTGTACAACAAATCTCTGGGCATGAGTTTATCTATATAACAAACCTTCACATGTACCCATGAACACAAATTATTTTATTTTTAGTAGAGATGGGGTTTTGCCATGTTGGCTGGGCTAGTCTCGAAATCCTGGCCTCAAGTGCTCTGCCTGTCTCAGCCTCTATTTTTTTTGTCCATAAGATTTCATGCTGCAAATTTCTTTATGAGCATTGCGTAAACTGTATTCCACAGATTTTAATGTATGATGTTTTTATTCAATATATATGAGGAATTTCTGTAGATCTTTTACTAATTTCTAGTTCTGTTCCAATGTATTAAGATACTTTATATGATTTTCATTACTTTAAGCTTGTTAATGTTCATTTTATTGTCCAGCATATGGTCTATTTTGGTGAATTTTTCTTTGTACATTTGAGGAGACTGTGTATTCTGGTGTTATTGAGTGGTGTGTCTTTTAAATGTCAATTAAGTCAAGTTGTTTGGTTGTGTTGCTCAGGTCTTCTATATCGTTACTGAAGTTTTGTCTGTTCATTTATTGAATGCTGAGACAGTTTTGAAGTCTACCAATTATGGATATATCTACTTTTCCTTTTAGCTCTATGTTTCCTTCCTATATTACGAAGCTCTGTTGTTTGGTGAATATACATTTACAATCATGTGCCAACTGATTCCTTATTAGTATGTGTGCCCTTCTTTGTCTCTGTCAATATTATTTGCTTTGGAGTCCATATTGTCTGATTTTAATATGGCCATTCCTGCTTTCTTTTGATTATTCTTTGCATGAACTATTCTTCTCCAGCCTTTTACTTCTGATGTAGTTGTATCTTTATATATAAAATAGTTTCTTTAGGCCATAAATAGTTAGGTTTCCTTTTTCATCCAGTTTGATGATTTCCCATTTAATTGATGTGTGTAAACCATTTTCACTTGCTGTAACTACAAATAAGTTAAATTTAAATGTACTATCTTGCTACTTGTTTTCTGATTGTTTCATCTGCTCTTTGTGGTGTTTTCCTTTCTCTGCCCCTTTTGAATTGAGCTTTTAAAAATGATTCCATTTTATTTATGCTATTAGTTTGCTAGCTATATTTCTTATTAAAAGTTTCTTAGCTGCCCTCCAGCTTATAATACATATCTCGAATTTATGATGTCTCCTTTAAGTAAGATTGTAAAATTCACAAATAGTTTAAGAAACTTACAACAATATACTATTCTTTGTGTTATTGTTGTCATACATTTTATTTCTACATGTCATAAAGCCCTCAAAACTTTGTTACTATTTTTGCTTTAAATAATTACTATTTTAGAATAATTAAAAATAATACACAAAGTTTTGTATATTTATTTTTACCATTTCTATAGCTTTTACTTTTTTTTGCATAGATCCATGTTTTGCATAGATCCGTGAGATGATGTTAATTCTGATGAATAATTTTCTTTAACATTTCTAGCACAGGTCTCCTGGCAGTGAATTTTCTGTTTTTGTTCATCTGTGAAGGTTTTTATTTTGCCTTTATTTTTTAAAGATTTTTGTTTTGCTCTTAATATAGAATTTTGGGTTGACATGTTTTTTTTGTGTGCTTTTTGCTTTTTAGTTCTTTAAAGATATTACTCTCTATTTTTCTGGTTTGCAGTGTTTCTGATGAGAGGTCTCTTACATTCTTATGTTCCTTCCTTTGTATTTAATATGTCTGTCACACTTGTCTACCTTCAAGATGTTCCCTTTATCTTTAGTGGAAGTAATTTCAATATGATGATTTTCAGTCAGTAGAGGGTTTTAGTTTAATTTTTTTGGTGGTGGTGAGGTACGAGCAGGTCCAGCCCTGCTGTTGTAGCTGTGCGTGCTGCCGCAGAGGTGTGAGTTTAGAAACATCACATTACTTACTGTCTACCTAACTCCGAAAGAAGCCTTAGTCTTGACACTGCCCTTATTTAGCTGTTACTAAGCACCACAAGTGAGATGCATCTGAGACTTCCTTTCCTGTATTTACCACCAGCATTAATCTTCAGAGAACCCTAGGTAATTCAGATATCATTACAAATTATTCTCATTTTATAAATAAAGGGGATTAGCTTCAATGAAGAACAGCAAAAGGAAAAGGATCCACTTAGCGAAGCCCCCAAGAAGGACGAAGCAGCTGCCTTCCACAAAGACATTTCTGGTTCAGACAAGAGGTCACTGGAGAAGAACCAAATTAATTTCGGGAGGAATCAAATGACCAAGAGATTAGAACCAAGCTTAAACTGGAAGACCACTGTTAATTACAAACAGTATGTAGACAATTGCATTAGTTTTCAGATGCATCTTTAGTAACCATATTCGCCTAATTTTTCACTTAACTTTATTTTGTTTTATTTTATTGTATGTATGTATGTATTTATGTATGTATGTATGTATGTATGTATTTTGAGAGGGAGTCTTGCTCTGTCACCAGAGTGTACCTCTCAGCTCACTGCAACCTCCGCCTCCCAGGTTCAAGTGATTTTCCTGCCTTGGCCTCCCGAGTAGCTGGAATTACAGGCACATGCCTGGCTAACTTTTTATTTTATTTTTTATTTTTGGTAGAGACAGGGTTACATCATGTTGGCCAGAATGGTCTCAAACTCCTAACCTCAAGTGATCTGCCTGCCTTGACTTCCCAAAGTGCTGGGATTACAGGTGTGAGCCACTGCATCTGGCCAGAACTTTTTTTATAATAGAAAAATACTGGGTAGATGTTTACATGTCCCTCTAAGGCACAGGTTGATTCCTTTCTGCTTCTCTTTGTATTCTAAGCAGAAAGATTTGGTAGAGTTTGTGTGTGGAGCACCATGGAGGGAAGGGAAGAACACAATTCACTTTCATATAGTTGGTGAGGCAGGGCAAATAATACACAGAAAAGATGATACAACACGTGGAGAAGTCACAGGGGAAATGTAAAAACCATGGCAGAGACCTGATTAAGTAAACACCGGGAAAATGTGGAATGAGGAAAATTACATGGAGTTAATCAGGAAAACTGTCACAGAGATAATGTCTTTTCTTTTAACAGAATTTTAATACTATAAAAAGGCTAGAGTCTAAAAAATATGAATGGGTCTGTATAAAGTAGACACTGGCTTGATGAATGTATGAAATATACTGAACAAGTGCCATTTAAGACCCTCTATAAATAGGTGTCAAAGCAAAAATTGAGGGCCGATGTTACTTAAATGCTGGGGCAGTCCAAAACACCTAGAGCACGATTTATTTATATATGTATGCATTTATTTGTTTTTGAGACAGAGTCTCACTGTCACCCAGGCTGGAGTCCAGTGGCACAAACCCGGCTCACTGCAACCTCCCCCTCCCGGCTTCAAGCAATTCTCCTGCCTCAGCCTCCCAAGTAGCTTGGATTTACAGGTGTGTGCCACCACACCAGGCTAATTTTTGTATTTTTAATAGAGATGGGTTTTTGCCCTGTTGGCCAGGCTAGTCTCCAACTCCTGAGCTCAAGTAATCCACCCACCTTTCCCTCCAAAAGTGCTGGGACTACAGGCGTGAGCCACTGCACCCAGCCCACTTAAAAAAATTTAGCAAATAGTTTGCAAGTCGTGGCCTGTAAGTGATGTTCTATGTTGTCCCATTTTTGGGTTAAGAACTGGCTCCTGGCTAATCACACAGGGACTTTTTCCTGCAGGGATTCTGAGAACTACAGGGCGATTGTGTTTTGGAAGCAAACCCTGAGCACTGTTTGAAAAAAGGAGTCCTGTGGAGAGGAGAGACACTCTGGCTCCTCTGATTGATTCTCATCAATCTTGGGGCGTTTGACTTTTGTGGCTCTGTTTGAAAGAGTCGATGTGCAAATGAAAAGTGCATGGGCAACTCTGTTAACGGAGAAGCGAGTTTTAAACTACTGCTTTTTCCATATGCTTACTCTTTCAACTATGAGATTCCTTAGCAGGTGTTCAAGGGAGAACACAGAATGTGCCAAGGACTATGCAAAGCCTGCGAATACCTGGAAAACCAGGTGCAGGCCCTGTTGCAATGTTGGATGGGGAAGATAACTAGACAACTAGAATTGAGGGTGATACATACCTAGACTAGAAGCCATTGGATGAAGGATTCACAGCAACAGTGGCAGCCTGTGAAGACCTGTTCCTAGGTGCTGGACAGAATGTTTCTTCAATACGTAAAACATAGGGCTGTGCTGAAAGAGTGAAAGAGACAGCTCCGAGTGTCAGAATGAGGCTGGAACTCTGTCAGGAACACATATCATTTGAGTGCATGGAAATAATGGACTATATATCTACATTGCCATCTTTTATTTTTTATTCATTATCATAAAGCAATAAAGTTAATATATTTACATATATATATATTTTAGGAGCAAAGGCTCAGTGAAAGAAATCCAAGAGGACAAACACACAGGAAAACTTGAAAAAACAAGACTATCTGTTTCACTCGGAAGAGCACAATTACGTCGGTACGTTTCTGGTCAACATGACAAATTCCCTAAAGCCACCTCACACAGTGGGCTGGTGAGCATGCAAATTAATGCCATTCTTACTATCAGGGTTCCAAGATATTTACATTGACAGTTACTAGGAGTGTTAGTAAAAACGATAACACTGGATTTCTTTAAATACTTTTACAAGATATTCTTCTCATGCAGACTTACCTGAAATACAGGGATTTACTAGCATTAGTTGACTCTGGGAAAAGAAATGTATTTAATGCCAAGAGCAGTGAACGAAGTTTTAGGAGCACTGGGCTCCTACTGATGACGTCTTGCCTCTAAACAGTCACGTCGTGGCAAAATTAATGTTATCTGTCTGAGCGTCCCTTTGCTAATCACAAATGACTGCTGATTTTGAAGTGGTCTACGTTATTGCTAATGAAAACAATTAAATATGAGGGCAACTAGTAAACTTCTTAGTTGATTGTCAGTGTGACAAAAGAAGTGACATATCTGGAAGATAAGGATCAGCCAGTTTTATGAGTTTCGGAGTGGCAGATATTAGCGCTTTTGTTACAAACTCATAGAAGTCATTGAGGCTGTGTCCATTTTTTTTTGTTTTGTTCTCTCTAAGTTGTTCAGATTGAGTAAATTCTGTTGTTCTATCTTCAAGTTCATTTATTTTTTCTTCTGCCCTATTCTTCAACTAATTCCATTCAGTGAGTTTTTAATTTCATTTTTTATAATTTTTAGTTCTAATATTTCCATTTGCTTTTTCTTTTCTATCTTCTATTTCTTTGCCAAGACTTTCTATTTTTTTCATTTGTTTCAAGCATGTTTATGTTGCCTACTGAAATATTTTTAAGATGGTGGCTGTCATTTCTGTCAGATAATTCATACATCTTCATCTCCTTGATATTGGCATTTTTCAATTGTCTGTTCTCATTCAAGATGAGGTCTTCCCTATTCCTGGTATGACAAATAATTTTCAGTTGAAATGTAGACATTTTGGTTATTATGAGACTCTGGACCTTATTTAAATCTTTTATTTATTTATTTATTTGAGACAGAGTCTTGGTCTGTCACCCAGGCTGGAGTGCAGTGGTACAATCTTGGCTCACAGCAACCTCCGCCTCCTGGATTCAAGTAATTCTCCTGCCTCAGCCTCCTGAGTAGCTGGGATTACAGGCATGCACTACCACACCTGGCTAATTCTTGTATTTTTAGTAGATACAGGGTTTTGCCATGCCAGCCAGGCTGGTCTTGAACACATGGACTCATGTGATCCTCCCGCCTCAGCCTTCCAATGTGCTGAGATTACAGATATGAGCCACTGCACCTGGCCTAAATCTTGTATTTTAGAAAACCTTCTCTGCCACTATATTTGCAGGTTGAGGTGTGTGCTGCTTCCCTAGGCTGGTGAGGAATAGAAATAGCAGGTTTTCCCGTAGGCCTTCATTGACACCTAAGGGGACAGGCAAGGAGGTCCTCATTGTTTCTGGAGGGTGGTGGGAGTTTATGCTCCACCTATGACTCTGCTGATACCAGCCTGACAGTGTGACAGGGGAGTCCTCAGTTACTTTGTCAGTGAGCTCTACTGACATCACAGTTCAGGGGAGTGGTTTCATTTTTGTTGAGAGGCAGTGAGCATCTGACTCTCTGTCAGGCCTTCTCTGATGCCACCCCAGCAGGTGGGTTGCAGTGTTTTCTTACAGTCTGACAAAGATAGACCCCAAGGCTCTTCACTTGGCCTTTGCTGTAAGAGGTAGAGTTGGGCCACGCTGTTTTCTGCAGTATTGACTGAAATAGATCATTTGTTATCTAAACATTTTCTGTTCTTATTAGGCTTTCCTTTTCTGGCCCTTTGAATTAGACAGAGCGTGACTTTCTTGGGTCCTGTTTTTTGTCTGCACCCACTGGAGTTTCTGCTTTGCTGGCTTTTCCAGTGCCCAGTCTAGGATGAATGAGACAGAAATAGAACCCAGGGAATGCACCGCTGTGTTCCCTTTAGATCCCTAGGTAGTCCTCTTTTTTTTTCCCCCTCTATCTTTCAGATTCACCTTATGCTTGTTTTATATACAGTATCCAAATTTTTAGCTGTACTTGGTGGGAGAAATAAAGAAAAGTATATCTACTTCATCTTTCCTAAAATAGATATTGGGCCAAAGTATTTCATTTTTAGCTAGTTAGAGAACTTTAGGGTAATAGGTTAAGGTAAAGTTGTGTATCTAAACAACAACTATTATTCAATGATAAAAATGAAAAGTTCTCTGTGTCTAATCTTGCCTAAGTAGATAGAATGCTGTGGTAGAGAAGTGTTTCTTAAAGTGGAATTTGTAGATCAATTCAACATTGGTGTTTGCTTCTTTTTCCTCCTGAATATGCAGTTGCTATGGGATAGGATAGGAAGGAATCATGTCAAATAGGAAAAGCATTTTAAAGTTAGCTATCAAAGGAAAAAAAAAGGCAGCTTTTCTTTGGGGTGCTGCTTTTTAAAATGGGATTATGGAGTGATTGGGTTGACATATTTCATTCTGCCCTCAACTCCAGGAGCTTGTTAGGCTAAGAGAAAGTAAATTTAGGCTTTCCCCAAAGAATTTAGACCTATTCTAGTATATGCTTCAATCTGGAATCTTTAAGTTAAATTTAAGCCACTTCTTGAATAGACCTGATCTACTGGAAACTTCACTCAGGAGGCTTGTTAAATGGGAACAGATGCTTCAATTCAGGCCTTCCCTCTACCGTGGTCCAGAGAGCACAATCATAGTATTTTACACGCAAATTGGCTTTTGGAAGTGCAAAAATTGGGGCTCTCTGTGCCAAAAAACCTGTAAGAAATAAAGAGAATCATGGAATCTTGCAAATTAATACAATTTAAAAATTGCCCATCCTCTTCCTATGTTCCAAAATGGAATAGAGTAGAAAAGACTTTTACGGACGAGAACCCACGGGGAGTTGGAGAGAGGAGAGGAGGGAGAGAAACAAAGAAAATGAGAAAGAATTAGATATGAGCATGAGGCTTGAATGGACTATTCCTTGCCCATGAGCTTAATGTTGAGTTAGAAGCTTCTAGAGCAATGAGGAATAAAGTTTGCTTTCTCTTAAGACTTTTTAGAATTAGAGCACAATGATCATGATTCCACTTATTCTATTTTTGTAAATCAATGTTAAATTTCTGCAGATGGCCCATTTTCAGCCCTCGTTGATTTCACTCCAGGTTTGCACTGTGTAGGGTGTCAGTAACCCTTTTATGGATTACCTCGTACCCAGATATGTTTCTGAAAGATTAATGGGAGCCCAGAATGAATACATGACTCCAGGGAGCGGCTGGTAGGGTCCTTGGGTTCCTTTTACCCATGGACACAACTCTAAATGCAAACCCGATTGAGTCATGTCTCCTCCTGGACTTTCACCCCTGTCCTGCTCTACAATATCCCATCTGAATCATTCTTCCACTTTGCTCTTTCTTTTACATTTTTGACTTGGGCCTCCTCATACTACAAGGAAATGAATTTCTTTATGTCCTCACCCTATGCACTAAAGCCTCCACTCTCTCCTTTCTTGCATTTATTGAAAGTTTTCCTTGACAGCAGAGATTCTCCTTCAGGACCTTCTTTTCCCAAGGTCCTGTATAATCACAGAGGCAGAAATCTCCTCTTTATTGCTTCAAACTACCTTACTCTTCAGATTCGACCTCCTTTCCCATGAAGCTGATGTAAGCCTCTGACTTTGCTGTTTTCCATAGATCCATGATCACTCATGATGTTAACATTGACTTGCTGTGACTTTCATCCTACATCCAGTCATCATCTTGAAAAATCTGAAACCCCAAGAGGAAGACCAGGACCAAATCTTGGCCTACACACTCCCTGGTTTCAGTCTCCCTGACTGTTGCCTCCTCTCCATCAACCTGCCTCTGTTGCCACTTCCTGGAATTATCACCAAAAATACCCTCCTTTCATAATCTTAACCTAGACTGCATTCATTTTTTCATTCATTTATTCACACATGCTTTAATCTCTTGATTCTTCTAGCAAATATTTATTGAATGACTTTCTTGTGCTAGGTGAGACGGTATAAAAGACCAAAATGGTCCTTGCCTTTATGGAACTTACTAATACAATACAAGAAAACAGAAATAAAAATTTTCTGATAGTTACCCAGGTGGACAAGGTGCTAAGCTTCAAAATAATGGGAACTTAGATAATTACTCATAGACCACAGCTTTGATTCTGCCATTGCTGAAGATCAAGGTGAAGGCAAAAACCTAACAAGTTACTTAATTGATAGGGTCCCTAAGATTAAAACAGATCAGATCTTCAAAAGCAAAACCACAGCTTTTCCTTGGAGTTTGAGAAAGATACTGAAAGACGGCATTCTTCAGCAGCATTCCCTTGATACCTGGTAGCCAACAGGCCCTCCATGCACGTTTGTTGAATGTATATGCATGATAATACAGAACTATCTAACAAGTATTTCATGCTCTCTCTATGCCAGGCACTGTGATAAGCTCTTTACATACTAATTGCTGTTATCATCCCCGATTCTCAGGTGAGGAAACTGAGGCACATGTGAGTTAAATGACTACACCAACTCCCATAAGAACCAAGGGAACAGCTCCCATTACAACTATTTGTTTTACACAGCCACTTTACTAACCATGGAGTTTTGTTCATGCCTATTATTATTATTATTATTGAGACAGAGTCTTGCTCTGTCATCCAGGCTGCAGTGCAGTGGCACAGTCTTGCCTCACTGCAACCTCTGCCTCCCAGGTTCAAGTAATTCTCCTATCTCAGACTCCTGAGTAACTGGGACAAGAGGTGTGTGCCACCACACTCAGCTAATTTTTGTATTTTTAGTAGAGACAGGGTTTCACCATGTCGGCCATGCTGGTCTCAAACTCCCGACTTCAAGCAATCTACTCACCTTGGCCTCCCAAAGTGCTAAGATTACAGGCATGAGTTACAATGCCTGGCCCAAATTATTTTTTAACTCATTATCTCTATAATGAGAGTAATAACAACCTCCTAGATTGTTGAAAGAATTAAAAGGAGACATTTTACCCAGAGTCTGTTGTCCCGAATTCTTGTGACCAAATTCATGGGATTCTGAAAAACTCGCTTTAAAAAAGGGTAATGAAATTCATATAATGTATAATATATAACAACCTCTATTGAACCGTGAGCCAATATCCTATAATCAAAAACATGAGCATTTCTGTAGTGAAACATGAGTATTCACAATGAATTAGAGCAATAAAGGCCATAAATAGTCTAGTATCAATTCATACAAGGCCTCAGCAACAGGTTAAGTCCAGTGGGGGGAAAAGTCCATTTTCAGAGCTTTTTGGATTTCAGAATTAGAGGAAAAGTATTGTGGACTTGTGTTTTCTATAGTGGTCACTGACCTTGTGGCTTTGATATTTAAGGACACCTTAATATGTGATTGGCAAGAGTCATATTTTAAGTAATTTTGGATCCTTCAAGATGAATGATTTTTTTTTTCTTTCCCCTTAATTTCTCTGAGGTTTCCTTGCTTGTAGAATGGGGATAATAGAGCCTGCCTTGTGAGGTGGTTGTGGGGTTTAGAAATAATGAGTACCTGGGACAAAATCGACATTTAGAACTGGTGGCTGCTGTTGGTATTATTTGATATTAAAATCAGCTAGAAGACCTAAAAGTTTGCTTCTGTCCTGTGAGATCAGGAACATATGGGAAACAATATCAGGATCAACATCCTGGGATGAGTGATGGACGAGCAGCTCCGGAAGCATCATTGTGGGTTTGGTGACCCAATGGCAATAACCTCACATCCAGCAGTGGGAGGTGAAGACAGGCTGGTGTGATGAGTGTGCATGAGAGACCTCTGCAGGGACACAGGGTATATATGAGATTACAGAAGGCTCTTATAATACTGTTGCCCATGCATCAAACCACAGAATGTAATGTTCTTCTGTGGAACTCAACACTTTGCATGCTAATGCCTCTCAGAGTCGGTGGTTAACTCTCGGTCCTGAACCTGATGATGTTCATGTCATTGCTGTTCTTTGGCACCTTGGCTTTCCAGGTACTTTGCTGTAGGCGTTCTGGAAAGATGTGCTGAATAGTGACTCTCCTTGGTAACAGAGCCTCTTTCACTTGAGGGCCTTGCAGCACTGTCCAGTTGAATTTTCTGGAATAATAGAAATACTCAGTGTCTGAGCTGTCCCGTGTGGTACATGGGCCATGAGCACTTGAAATGTGGCTAGTGTGCTTAGAGAACTGAATTTTTAAACTTTCTTCAATTTTAGTTAAATAAGTAAGTTGAAATACCTGTAAATATAGATGACCACATGTAATGAGTGGCGGTATTACTGAAAAGTATGACCTGAGGACATTTACTGAATTCTTTTGTTTATTTCTCACTGTTTTCTTTATCATGATTATTGCACCCAGAGCAATTGCACCTGCGATAGAGACAGGTTTATTCATCTCACGCATTTCCTTTTTTATTTTACTTTTTTTGAGACAAAGTCTTGCTCTGTCTCCCACACTGGAGTGCAGTGGTGTGGTAATGTAATAATGGTTTACTGCAGCTCAAACTCCTGGGCTCAAGTGATCTTCCTACCTCAGCCTTCTGAGTAGCTGGGATTACAGACATTCACCACTATGTCTGGCTAATTAAAAAAATATATATTTTTTTGTAGCTCAACATAGCAGAGTCTTGCTATGTTGTCCAGGCTGGTGTTGAACTCTTGGCCTCAAGTGATCCTCCTACCTCAGCCTCCCAAAGCACTGGGATTATAGGCATGAGCCACTGCACCTGGCCTCATGTAGCTCTTAATAGAGATCTACTAGAACTCAGAAGGTGTTGGTATCTGATCCATTGCTTGTGTCCATGTTGCCAAAATATTATTATTACCATCTCCACACTATAGCTTACATATATATATGTTGTTATTGTTCTAGAAAGAGTGCTGAAAAGATTGAGGAAATCATTAGTGACAGTTCCTCAGAAAGTGAGGAAGATGAAGAACCACCTGACCATCGTCAGGAAGCAAATGCAGATTTGCCATCAGAATATTGGCAAATTCAGAAGCTGGTGAAATATTTAAAGGTAAGAAAGGTCTATGGCACTATGTTTGTAATGTTCATTTAGAATACTTTCCCAAAAATATATATGCTGCTTTCAAGTTTACTTTATGTTTCTTTCAAATAAGAGTAGCAAACACTCCTGTTGTTTTATCTAGTGTGTGCAGGGGAAGGTCTTATTACCCTGAGAATGCAAGATTCATCCTCATGGAGCAAGCAGGCTGCCTGGTACCATCCCTCTCTCCTGGCTGGAGAGTGGGCCTGGTAAACAGCTGAAATTGTGACTTGCTGCCATTTTATGATTTGTAGTATGGTGTGGAAGAAATAACATGGATTTTTAAAGCTGAATTTTGGTTAAACTCTAGGCTGTTTCATTTACTAGCAATGTCACTGTTGAAACATTACAGTTTGATCCCTGATTTTCTTCAACCCATGGAATAAAATTAATATACCTGTACTACAGATTATTATAAAGTTTTAAAAAATATACTTGAAACATACAGCATGGTTTCTGAGACATTGTTGGTGCTTATAGTGTGGATTGGTCCGTTTTCATTTCTCTCTTAAGTCAGATAGCATATATGAGAATATTTTACATAATAATTGGCCCACATAATGTATTTAAGTACTTGAATTTGTGGGAGGGCAAGGGAAATGGCTCACCAAAACCCAGATTAATATTTATTTCGACATCAGATAGCAGGTATTGATGGTCTTTAGGCCTTGTGTAAAGCCAATGTCCAGAAGTATTTGTGAAAAAACATTTGACTTAATTCATGTTTTCTTTTTGGTTTTCCATGTCTTTGGTCAATCAACCAAGGGCATTTGCCAGTGGCTTTCCTTGACTTAATTATTGCGCAATGTAAACATTTATCAAAATACTACATTGTATCCCATAAATATATACAATTATTCTTGGTCAGTTAAAAATAAATAATATTTTGGCCAGGTGAGGTGACTCACACCTGTAATCCCAGCACTTTGGGAGGCCAAGGCGGGTGGATCATCTGGGGTCGGGAGTTCAAGACCAGCCTGGCCAACATGGTGAAATCTCATCTCCATGAAAAATACCAAAAACGTTTACCCAGGAATGGTGGTGGATGCCTATTATCTCAGCTATGGGAGGCTGAGGCAGGATAATCGCTTGAACCCTGGAGGCAGAGGTTGAGCCAAGATCACCCCATTGCACTCCAGCCTGGGGGGCAAGAGCAAAACTCTGTCTTAAAATAAATAAATAAATAAATAAATAAATAAATAAATAAATATTTTCATATCTCAAAAAGGGTATGAGCTTATATGAAGCCCTAATGCTCAACTTGAAGACCCTTTTGGCAGGCTCTTAATGATTTAACCAACATCAAGGCAAAATGAAATTTTTTATTTTTAATTTGGACTGTTTGTCATGAAAGAAACCTCTAGACTATTGGAGAGGACAGTTAATATTTTGTGAGTTTTAAAATTTCATTTTTAAGCATGATACTTTATAAATATTAAATATTTTTATGGCATCTGTCAATTTTTAAAATGGTTTTTATTTGGCATTTATTTTGTGTTAATGTTTTCCTCAGTGTTTTGTATTATGAAATTTCTATATCAAGTGCTTATTGTTTTTACATGTTGGTGCAGTATATAATTATGTCACATAATAATAAATAATAATATTATTTGGCTCATAATAATACATATAATATATATAATAATAATATTTGGCTCATTATAATCTGGCTCAATAATAAATCATGCATTTATTACATAAGATTTTTTTTTTACAGAAAACCTCTGAAATTTTGAGCATAACTCTACCACAAAAACATGATTTACTGTTTATTATGATAGAAATGATTCACTCTTATTACAGGCATTCATTATTGTTTAAAGACATGTAAATGAAATGTTAGGAAAAATACAGAATCATATAACTTGGGAACTCATGCAAATTCCTAGGAATTTTGATTGCATATTCCTAGATCTTGAAGATTAATCTGTTGGGAATTTGGAAACACTAGCATGGAGCACAGGCCAGATTCAGGCCACATGCTCCTGAGCTCCCCTTTGCCAGGAGTACTTGTGCACAAACCACATTGATTGACACAGCGGCCTAGTCTGGCATGTACAGTGACTATGTGCAGCCTTGGGGCACTTAGGACACCCTTGCAACAGTGCCTCTGCATCTGTGCCAAACCACAGAGCCTCCTGTGATCGTCTCTCCTGGACTCTTAAAAAGCATGTCATCTAGGGAGGGGGGAACTGGCAGTGGAGAACTTTGCCAACACTACTCCCTCTCTTTGAGGTGGACAGCTCTAGACAGGCCCAATGGGGCTTAGACATGGCCCTTCCTTTCTTCCTTCCCCCTTCCTTCCCCTCCCCTCCCCTCCCCTCCTTTCCACTTCCCTCCTCCCCTTCTCCTCCCCTTCCCTTCCCTTCCCTTCCCTTTTCTTCCCTTTTCTTTCCTTTCTTTCCTTCTTTCTCCTTTCCTTTCTTCCTTCTCTTTTTTACCCTCCCCTCCCCTCCCCTCCCCTCCCCTCCGCTCCCCTCCCCTCTCCTCTTCCTTTTTCTCTTTCCCAGGCTGATCTTGAACTCCTGGCCTTAAGCAATCTTCCCACCTTGGCTTCCCAAAGTGTTGGGATTACAGGCATAAGCCACTATGCTTGTCCAAGGCATAGCCTTTCAGAAGATGCATTAAGAGAGTCCTGAGTTTTTCCCAAGAGTCCTGGTCCATTATCTTAATTTTATTAGCAAAAGGAAACATAGTCAAAATGGCAGAAACAAAAGATGGGCCAGGAAGCAGAATACCAGAGTAATTAGAAGCATGGTCTTTGACGCTGGAAAGACCAGCTGAGTTGAAATTCTGCCGCTTACTCAGTGGCCCTGGGTGAGTTGACTAACCCCTATAAGCTTCAGTTTCCTCACTGGCGAAGATGGAAAAATAAAAGTTCTCTCATATTAGGATTATTTAATGAAATATAACACATGTAAAGTGCTTAGCACAAAGAACTTGGTAACCGTTGGCAATTATAATTATTTCTATTGCTTATTATTATTGTAGAAAACGTGTGGCATGGAGACTTAACTGACTTGTATAGGTGGCCTTCAATTTTTACTTTCAGTTCTCTAGCAACCAGTAAAAGGAGGGAAACAAAGTGAGTTAATACAGAAAGGGAAAGTCTCTCAGCATCTCAAAATGAAAACAAACCAGTTGCCAGTGAGTATAACTGATCCTGGTGCTAAGAGCAGAAAGAATTTTCTCCCTTAGGATTTAATGGGGCAGGCATGGAGTGAGAGAGTGAACAGCCTCAATAATATCCTCCCAGTGAACAGAGCAAAGAGAGTGTCTCAAATAGCCTAATTACTGGATAACTATCTTGAGTTTTTCAACTATTTAGAGTAAGTCCATGTAGCATTAGGCAAAAAAGAGATGCACTATTTCTGTCCCAGTACAGCTAAAGAAAACATTTATTGATGAAGTGCTACTTAAATTTGCACAAGTTATTCATCAATAAATCATGTGCAAATGTGATACTCTTGGCCAGACAGTAAATTGCTTGGAATTCTTATAGTTCCCACAGGTAAATTTTCTTAACATAGCCAATAAAAGGAAAAGTGTATCTATAAATGATTTCAAGGTTTTTGACACAGATAAATGTTTTATATGGAGACACAAAACAATATTAAAAGTCTATGAAATGCAAAATTGAATGTCTCTAGGTAATCTCAAAATAAATACACCTGACATTTTAATTTGTGAAATTATGACTTAAATGTAGATTTAAGCTAGCAGAGAAATGTTCATGTTGACCTGACTTTCTATTTACCATTTTCCAAGTAGTGTAATGTCTGTGATTGTTGGGAAAAAAAGATTTGATGAGCTCATTAATACCCAAACAGGTCAGTGAACCATAGCTTATTCGTCTGGAGCTATGAGCTCATATGTTGGCACATACATGGCTTTTGTATTTAATTATTTGGTTTGACATATGTTAATTTCAATCTGCAAGTTTTTTCATCCAGAGTTTTTGAACACAATGTAATTTTCAAATTAATGAATATATCGTATTTTTACTCACCAACCTTCCAGCTTCTTTTCTCCCTGCAGCTGATGACTCTGTATTCTAATTCTTAAGGAAGCAATGAATCCCCTTTTCAGCTACCTTACTGATAAGCACCTGTGTTCTGCCTTCTGCCATTCTGATGGTTCAGGTTGTCTGTCTTAATACCTACTTCTTGAGTAGAGAGACCAGATTAAATTTATTGCTGTATCTTGCAGAGCATCTTGCTAATGGGTGCAAACTCGCCTCCCCACCTCTGCCCCTATGGTGCAAAAGGGAGAGGATGAGGTTCCTTAGTGGCAGGCCTTTGCTGTTCTGCACTCTCAGCTCCCTGAAAGTAGTTCTTCCGGCCTCTGAGCCTGCCTTTCCTTCTGCTGTTGACTTCTTTCCCACTTTTCTTGCATCCTTCTCTCTTTCTTTTCCTGCCTTTTTTCTTGTAGACATACTAGTAGATTGCTCTATTTGGTAACTTTATATGGATTTTATATTCTTCCCTGGCCAGGATTGTTTAAAAATTTTGCAAGGAAAATGTCTTGCTTTTGATCACTTCCAGTGATTAAAGGAGATGGTTTGTTAACGTCTCTATGCTCCATACTAATTCTATGAGTCTCTCTAAAACTTGAGTGAAATCGTGCTCATTTCTAAATAAGGTATGTGGAGATCCCCTTTTGTAAAATAGGAGAAGGGATGTAGGATATTTCCTTTGTTTGGAAATGTGGAAATAAATATTAGTTACAAGTACTGTATGCTATAAATTCATACAAACGGGGATCCTTCAGTAGAGATGGGTAAAATGTTGAAAGGTAATAATTATAAGTAGATTTGCATTTTATACACATTGTAATGAAAAAGAATTTCTGGACCCAAGGTCAAAAACATGTTGAAATCCATTTCAATGTGGATTGAAGGTGGAGTGGTCATGGTACTTAACACTATAGGATCAGTAAATCCAAGAACAAATTGAAAAGACTAGAATAGT